CGGCGGCTGTGGGGCTTAGGCGTTGTGAGCGCGCTTCGTAATGCCAGGGTGCCGGGTTCGATCCCAGCTGTGAGCCTTGCGCCTTGCGTTGGTTTTGACAATGGTATCGAGAAAGCCGACCGTCCAGTAACAATGGCAAACTACTGGGACGTAAACTTGCCTACAAAAAACCACAAACAGCCAACAAATGCTGGGGTTGGTTCTGCAACGTCCTGTAAAAGATACGCAAACTAACTTTAAACCTGGGACCTGGCCCTCTGGACCTGGGGGATCCATAGTTTCAACATTTTGGTCCCAGAATAAACTAAACAGAATAGCCCTGGTATGTTGTATGGGTATGTTCTTTTAACTATTGCTAGCAATCGCAAATATCGTATAAAACATCTTGTCACCAGAACATAATTCGCCGCGTGTGAGCATATTTTACTAACAAAAAATATGATGCCTTTCCGACAGGCGTGGGCGATCATGCCTCTCCACAATTTGCGATCTTCAACAGCATGTATCGGCTCATTGTTTGGCGTCATGAATCTTTTCTTTTCGCCTTGTCTTTATTTATAGCTCTTTCCACAGACCTGTGTGCACATTTCACAAGTTAACACATCCCTTCGAAGATTAAAATACTAAAGCATGGACAAGGAAAAGTTTTTCTTTCTTTCTTTCTTTCTTTCTTTCTTTCTTTCTTTCTTTCTTTCTTTCTTTCTTTCTTTCTTCTTCTTCTTCTTCTTCTTCTTCTTCTTCTTCTTCTTCTTCTTCTTCTTCTTCTTCTTCTTCTTCTTCTTCTTCTTCTTCTTCTGCTTCCTCCTCCTCCTCTTTTTTTCCTCCTCTTCTTCTTCTTCCTCTTCTTCTTCTTCTACTTCTTCTTTTTCTTTTCTTCTTCTTCTTCTTCTTCTTCTTCTTCTTCTTCTTTCTTCTTTCTTCTTCTTCTTCTTCTTCTTCTTCTTCTTCTTTCTTCTTCTTGCTTCTTCTCTTCTTCTTCTTCTTCTTCTCCTTCTGCTTCTTCTTCTCCTTCTTCTTTTTCTTCTTCTTCGTTTCTACTACTACTACTACTACTACGACTACTACTACTACTACTACTACTACTACTACTACTACTACTACTACGACTACTACTACTACTACTACTACTACTACAACTACTACTACTACTACTACTACTACTACTACTACTACTACTACTACTACTTACAACAACTACTACTACTACTACTACTACTACAACTACAACTACAACTACTCCTACTACTACTACTACTACTACTACTACTACTATACTACTACTACTACTACTAACTACTACTACTACTACAAACTACTACTACTACTACTACTACTACTACTTACTACTACTACTACTACTACTACTACTACTACTACTACTACTACTACTACTACTACTACTATTTCATCTGCTGCTGCTCCTCCTTCCCTTTTCGTGAGGCTTTACGAGGGTTTGAGGAAGGAAAGTAAAAAAAAAATGGGCCCTTTTACATTGCTAACTGTAATGTATTAATGATCTTTCTACCCTGGGACTCGTCGGCGGCTGTGGCTTAGGCGTTGTGAGCGCGCTTCGTAATGCCAGGGTGCCGGGTTCGATCCCAGCTGTGAGCCTTGCGCCTTGCGTTGGTTTTGACAATGGTATCGAGAAGCCGACCGTCCAGTAACAATGGCAAACTACTGGACGTAAACTTGCCTACAAAAACCACAAACAGCCAACAAATGCTGGGGTTGGTTCTGCAACGTCCTGTAAAAGATACGCAACTAACTTTAACACTGGGACCTGGCCCTCTGGACCTGGAGGATCCATAGTTTCAACATTTTGGTCCCAGAATAAACTAAACAGAATAGCCCTGGTATGTTGTATGTTCTTTTAACTATTGCTAGCAATCGCAAATATCGTATACAACATCTTGTCACCAGAACATAATTCGCCGCGTGTGAGCATATTTTACTAAAAATTATGATGCCTTTCCGACAGGCGTGGGCGATCATGCCTCTCCACAATTTGCGATCTTCAACAGCATGTATCGGCTCATTGTTTGGCGTCATGAATCTTTTCTTTTCGCCTTGTCTTTATTTATAGCTCTTTCCACAGACCTGTGTGCACATTTCACAAGTTAACACATCCCTTCGAAGATTAAAATACTAAAGCATGGACAAGGAAAAGTTTTTGTCCATGATTAGTTTCACGTTAGCATCTAACCCACCCGCCCACCCCCCCCCCCTCTTTTCCCACATGGTCAGCTTTTCGTGGTACTGTTCGGAAACTCATGGTAAACTTCTAAACGTAAAATTTCAATTACAGTCACACATTTAGTAAATACTACCTTGACTTTTAAAGTCATAATTAATTATACGAAACTAACTTACTTCTTTCGTTCGACTGAAATAAGTTGTCTATATCAGCAAGTTTGTGTCTCGTATAAATTTCACTGTCGTTTCAAATTCGTTCAGTGGGATCCTGACTGCTGTGGTGCGTCTCCTGACTGGTTGCCTCCAATTTGAGCACCTCGTTTTGCTGTTACATCATACTCCGTCTGCAGCCGTCTGGTTTGACAGCGCCAAATACTCACCGTCGCTCCTTCTTCTGTTTGTTTAATTAACCTGCTCCGCCACGAGAATGCCAGGGTTGGAGGTTAGATGTCACAGTGACGACAGCACACGTCTTAGGGGTATATGGTGGGAGCTGAGAGTTCACCCTCAACCCCCCGGCCAAATGCTATGACAGCATTTGAAAACCGAAACTAACTAATTAATAGCATAATATAACTATATATTCAGCTTTAAACAGCTTGAACAAAATATTAAACTCTAAATCATATAGTTATAGGAACAAGTTCTGTATTTTCAATTCAAAAGTTATTTCAGTTTTAACATATTCCAAAATCGAACCACTAAAGATATAGATGAACATAAAACATGATAAATTAAAGGGGAGTGAAAAAATTAAAATATTAAACAAGAAACTTATGGAAAACCACTAGCATCAACAGCTACAAGTGAAGATGGCGTTATATTGGACATACTTTGAGAATAGGCACTGCAATGGGAAATAGATAGATTGAGAAAACGAGGACGCCCAAAACAAACCCTAAAGAGAAAGTTGACGAGAGAAGAGAAAGTTGATGAGAGAAGCGAAGTGATTGCAGAGGACAGAGCTAAATGGCTTGACTGTGAATCCTGTGTGACGTATAATGGTACAATGGTACAATGGGTGGATGAATGGATGGATGAATGGATGGATGAATGGATGGATGAATGGATGTATGAATGGATGGATGAATGGATGAACGAATGCATGAATATTCAGTGTCGCTAGCTTCAACCAATCTGGTAACCAGCAGCCCACTATTAGTTTGATTGTTCCAAAGTGTGTTATACTTCTCCAAACTCCTTATGTTTCAGCTCAGTGGTCTTTGACATTTTTCAAGTCACAGTCACCCCCCTTCCCTCCCCCTCCTCACTATATGGCAAGACCCCACGATTCCCACCCCCCTTTGAGTATATGGCAAGACCAGTAGTTTGCCATTTCTTTCTGGACAGTCGGCTTCTCGATACCACTGTCGAAACTAGCGCAAGGCCCGCATCTGGGATCTAGCCCAGCACACGAGCATTACGAAGCTCGTTCGTAAGCCACAGACACCGACATTTAAAGTAAAACAAAATGATTATTTACAATGCTCTCACTTTCAAAATCGCTTGATGCCTCTAGGAAACCTGCCTGTGCCATCTTTAGGAGCGCCCCATCTCCCCCATGATGGAGACCTAGCGGTGGCTGTACTCACCCACACGTCTTCAGTTTTTTTGTTCTATGGTGCCATAAATACAAATCATAGGGTTGAAACATGCATTTATTCTTTTTCTTCTTCTTCTTTGTCTTCTTTCTCCTCCTTCTGCTGCTGCGGTGGCGTCGTAGTCAACTCTTAAAATGGCGGTTGGCATGTTTTCTTGTGGCTTACAGCTAAGCTGCAACATCTGCTTCCTTTGGTCAAACACATCTCGATTTCAACAAGTACATAATTAGTCCTTAGATCTACCCAGCCGCAAATGGATTTCCGGTAAACGCATGGGAAGTAAAGGCCGTGACACCATCCCCAACTAAGTGCCGATTGTTATATAATATATAGCTCTAGCCCTATAAGTCCAGTAGGCATGAAGACATGGGAAAGGGTCCAAATGCGTCGCCTCTTCCGACGTGCCATTTTTTTTTTAAATATCCAGAAACCATGAGTTGTAAAGCCTTTGGCTAAGTACTATAGATATCGCAACCCTTAGGGCCTTGATTCCATTATAGGTACCATTAATCTGGGAGAAATGGGAGTGAACCTGGACCACAAGGAGTTCGTCACCCTGGTTTAACCAACTACGCTAGAGAGCCGGACATATGCCTTTTAAGGCACGGTGGAGCTTTAAAATTCTGAAATGGGTCCCATGAACTCAGACGGGGAGATGTCTTACTTACAGTAACAGTCGCCCCAGTCAAGAATAAGTTCAACTAACACCTTCTCGGCACTAATAGAGTTAATTAAGACCTGAGGTCATGTGCCAGTTTGTCATAGAATCTCTTCATGAGCTCCTGATCTCCTTCATCCTCTGGGCTGGGATAAGGCAGGTAGGTGTTGTTTTTGATGTAACCAAGCAGTTCCACGTCCAGTTCCCTGTTGGGGATGTTCTCTTTGATGACAAACACCAGCACCTCACGTCCTGTATGGACCGCCTCATTGGTCGCCATCTGAGAAGGAAACAGTTTTAACGCATTTTTGGCTTTCGTAATCGAAATGTAACTACGACATTCTTCTTCTTCTTCTTGTCTCTACTCCTAGAATGCCTCGTGGCGTCAGGACAGGAAGAGATCTCTGGAACGGGCCCTTCTGTTCGCTTCGTATAAAATACTTTTCAGTGTCTCTGATATTTTTCTGTTACCGTTGTATCTGTAATATAATGCTCTCTGAGGTGCCCTGTCTGATGCCAATCCTGTTACATGACAAAAGCATTTGATTTGTTGTCTACCTATAAAGTTCAGTTTTGGTTCCGCCATCAAACAGTACAGTCGCTTCCGCCATTTTACAGTACAGTCACTTCCGCCATCATACAGTACAGTTACTTTCGCCATCATACAGTACAGTCGCTTCCCCATCAAACAGTAAAGTCACTGTAGCCATCATACAGTTCAGTCGCATCCGCCATCATACAGCACAATCACTTCCACTATCATACAGTAAAGTCACTTCCGCTGTCATATAGTATAGTCGCTTCTGCCATCATACAGTACAGTCGTTTCAACCATCATACAGTACAGTCACTTCCACCATCATTCAGTACAGTCGCTTCCGCCATCATACAGTGCAATCACTTCCACCATCATACAGTATAGTCACTTCAGCCGTGACCTTCGAAAGTACTACCGACGGTCTCGCTTCAGCCATCACACCAGTTACTCACCTGTATCTCATAGTTACACCAGTTACTCACCTGTATCTCAAGAGTTACACCAGTTACTCACTTGTATCTCATAGTTACACCAGTTACTCACCTGTATCTCAAGAGTTACACCAGTTACTCACCTGTATCTCATAGTTACACCAGTTACTCACCTGTATCTCATAGTTACACCAGTTACTCACTTGTATCTCATAGTTACACCAGTTACTCACCTGTATCTCATAGTTATACCAGTTACTCACCTGTATCTCATAGTTACACCAGTTACTCACCTGTATCTCATAGTTACACCAGTTACTCACTTGTATCTCATAGTTACAACAGTAACTCACCTGTATCTCATAGTTACAGCAGTTACTCACCTGTATCTCAAGAGTTACACCAGTTACTCACTTGTATCTCATAGTTACACCAGTTACTCACTTGTATCTCATAGTTACACCAGTTACTCACCTGTATCTCATAGTTATACCAGTTACTCACCTGTATCTCATAGTTACACCAGTTACTCACCTGTATCTCATAGTTACACCAGTTACTCACTTGTATCTCATAGTTACAACAGTAACTCACCTGTATCTCATAGTTACAGCAGTTACTCACCTGTATCTCATAGTTACACCAGTTACTCACTTGTATCTCATAGTTTCAACAGTTACTCACCTGTAACTCAAAGTTGCACCAATAACTCTCCACGAAGCTACGTGTCAGTACCGCCAGAGTCCTCCTGCTCTCAGCCACAGCCCTGAAAATGTTGGCGGGAATGGAGGTTCCCGCCACAAAATCCCGCCCGTGAACGAGCAGAACCAGACCACGTTGTTCTAGTTCTAGGGAAAAAAACATTGAAAATGTAAGGAAGTAACAATTAAAGCAGTGTGAAAAAAAAAAAACTGAGAATTAAGGGAAGTAAAAATTAAAGCAGCATAAGGAAAAAAAAAAAATTAAAATGTAAGCAGTAAACAAAATTACATTATAAATGTAGGCAAGTAAAAATTGAAATGGGAATATAATGAAAAAAAACAAAAAAACATTAACATTGAAAATATAAGAAAGTAAATATTAAAGCATCAAGAATACACATCGAAAATTTAATCAATTTTTGTTAAAAAGTACCAATAAAAAAAATATTTTAAAAACGCTGAACATGTAAGTAAGCAAAAGTTAAGGTATAAAGAAAAAAAATGAAGATGTAAGCAAGTGAAATTTAAGTACGAAGAAAATTTTTGGAAAAGTATCTTTATTTTTTCAAGCTTTGTAGCACTGGGCATGAGCTGCTAGATCCATATTATTATTATTATTATTATTATTATTATTATTATTATTATTATTATTATTATTATTATTTTTATTATTATTATTTTTACTATTATTATTATCAGTCGACATTCAACTGTTTATGTGATGACCTTTACTTTTCTTGACATTTCCTCGCATTTATTTGAGGTTTGAACAACGCAACAACGTCATGGCATACGGGTGCCCTTAAGTGCTCCGTTCTTCTTCTAACTCAAGTCTGAGTATGAAGAAGCTCAGTACAGTGCACAGGTTCTGTAGCACCGGCGAGGATCCTGAAATACTTTGGGTAGATTTTTAACTCCAAATTTTGACCGGGCAGCGCCGTTAGGCAACTTTTTTCGATTTCCAACTGCCAAGGGATTTTTTACGTGCGCAACAATGCACACGGGCGTCCGATCTGACTACCCAGAGACCAGGGGGGAATTACTAGAAGTCCAAGTCCACATGAAAAATCCCAGCTCTTACCGGTGATTGATCCCGGAACCCCTAGCACTCCAGACGGACACCATGCCTCAAGACCACGCAGCCCCCTACTCGCATTCATTTGAAGCTGGCAGCCTTAATTAAACTACATAACACAATATGTTTCGATAAGGATTTTTATTATCATTATTCCTTTTCCTCCTCTTTCTTCCCTCCTCCTCTTCCATTTTATTTTTCTTATTTTTCTTGTTCCTTTTCTTCTTCTTCTTCTTCTTCTTCTTCTTCTTCTTCTTCTTCTTCTTCTTCTTCTTCTTCTTCTTCTTCTTCTTCTTCTTCTTCTTATGCTTCTAGTTCTTCTTCTTCTTCTTCTTCCTTCATCTTCTTCTTCTTCTTCTTCTTCTTCTTCTTCTTCTTCTTCTTTCTTCTTCTTCTTCTTCTTCTTCTTCTTCTTCTTTCTTCTTCTTCTTCTTCTTCTTCTTCTTCTTCTTCTTCTTCTTCTTCTTCTTCTTATCCTCTTCTTCGTCTTCTGCTTAATATTACTAAAAAAAAAGTTATGGTCCGTTTTTCACGCATTTAGGCGTATAGGGCATATAGGGCTAGATCTATATTTTTATAGACCAATCGGCACAAGATGTGTGATGTGGTCAGTATCACGCTGGCCGCCTTTACTTCTGGGACTGCACCCGACACCCACTCAAGGATGGGTCGACCTGGGAGCCAAAGTCATTTTTGAAAAAGTCCAGCTCTGCCAGGGAGCGAACCCACGACCTTCCGATCTGTGGCGAGCGTCTAGCCGCTCGGCAACGGCACTCCCTTAATATTACTAAGCGCGTATTATTATTGCTTTATTATTCTGCCCACTAATATTAGGAAGGTAAAATATTCTGTTTACGGAAGGAATAACAATCACAATGATACGAGTCACAAGTGGCAAACTCACCTGGTAGAAGACGTCGTTGAACAAACGCGTTATCTTCAGAATCGTAAGATATAAAAACATCGTAAAGAAACTGATCATTGGGTTCTTCTCTCTCATTGTCCATCACTTTGAGGTAGGCAGCATAATAGAAGTACCGGATTTTCCAGCGGAATCTGGAGATAAATGCTTTATTAGTATAAACTGTTTCCTGAACCAAAACTGTACAATCTTTAGGTATGTCCAAAGATTTTAAAGTCTAAAATAAAGAGGGTTTTTGAAAAGAACATTAAAGCCGTTGACCCTGAAGCGTAGGAAAAGGGAGATGCGGAGGGATGATGGACGTGAGGGTGGTACTGGGTGTCATTTCTGAGGGAAGAGGTGACACAATCGCAAAAATATGTGTTTTAAAAATAAAAACATGTATTTGAGGGGGTGGGAGTGGGTGCCATGACATTTTTTGCATCAGGTCCCACGTGACCTTGCTATACCACTGTGCTGACGCTGACAAGCTATCAACGAAAATGATAAAATTTTCCCGCGGTGCCGGAATTTTCTCCGGACGTGACCTTGGCTCCCATGTCAACGAGCCTAAACTGGGTACCAGATGAGGTCTGTGGAAGTAAAGACGGTCGGCGTGATGTTGGTCACCCATCAAGGTCTATGCAAATATGAGTCCTCAAATACCCGATACGCCACTGCGTGTAAAGGGGACTTAACTTGACAGTGACACTAACAGCAAGGAAACAGGAGTTACAGGACCTAGCAAATAATTACAATTCTCTCTATTCAAAGGTTGTAGATTTCTAACTACTACAGACACGGCTAATGGAGACATCTTGTATATATGTGCTTAGTTTGTCATGTTTCTTAGTAGAATTGTTTTCATAGCGATTTTTTTCTCTTCGGGGAGGGGGGTTTGAAACAAGGTGTCCATTAGCCAGTGTACTTATATATTAGTTGACGCTGTAATTAAGACATCCACACATAAGTATAAGCGCCAAGAAACAGATTATAAACAACATATTTATACCAGCGCTGTGCTGTCAGTGCCAGACTTGAACATATCAAAGGCTAAACTACATAACATTAACACCTGTGAAATGAGATGCCCAAGAAAAGCAGCCTACTCAACCATCAGAGACAGTGTTAAAAATTATATCATCAGACAGACTGTAGCAGCAACACCGTGCAGTAAATTCAACGAGAAACATCAGATCAAAAAGTTTGGTCATCTAGTAAGAATGCAGCCAGAACAGCTACCAGTGCAGGCGCTACACATGAAAAGATCAAAGTGAGAGCAAGAGGCCGGGTGCTTTCGTTTTTATCCCCCCCCCCCCCAAACAGACAGTCCAATATTTCAGGGGGTGGTAGTTAGGCTGCACGCAGTCGTGGGACCTAGTCTGCAGCAGTCGTGGGACCTAGGCTGTATGCAGTCGTGGGACTTAGGCTGCACTCTCTTGTGGGGCGTAGGTGGGTTGGTGTTTGGTCCAGTTCTAGGTTTTTGGGGGTAGTTAAAAGCGCCACAAGCCGGGAAACCCGGTCTTTCCACCCTATTGGACTGTCCGACTGACGTCATTTGGGTGTGATTTATTTCGAAAGAACCAGAGGCCGCCAAGGGAGAATGTGGACTGATCACATTAAAGAGCTTCTACATAGACAAGGAATGATAATAGTTATTGCTGTTCATCGACCAATGGATCGCAAACTGTTGCGCACCACGACGTTTAACGACATAAGTTGAAATTGATGATAATGACATAAATTGAAATTGAACTTTTTTTTTAAATACGACTTTCTTCCTTTAATATGGGAACTGTAGTTTAAAACGCAGTACAAACGACCTCATAAGAAGTATTGCATGTTACCACCAAAGATGAGCCGCGTTAGCGCAGTTATTAGGAGACTAGCTCTCAAATGCAGCTGCGACTCGCTGCAGCCTGCGGCCGGTGTTCGAAACCGGGCGGTTCCCGGGATTCACCCAGCTTTTAAGTAATGGGTACCAGAATTAACACTCTAGGGTAAATGGAGGAACGTCGCTGTAGTGACGGAGCTGTGTAGGGACGGCGACACAGGCGGACAGTTTCTTATCTGCTGTCCGTACTGGTGGCAGAGCATTTATGATTTAAAATCGTATACAATGTTGCTGGTTCACAACTCCCGACTTTACCTGGACCTTTACCAAAGATACACTGAAATTAAATTGGGGAACATATAGGTCTATATCACAAAGATATCTAAGAGAACTCCTGATAAGAACAGTGCCGAGTGCTGTGAAAGGTGTTGGGCTGGGTTCCATCCATAGTGTGGAAAGAATTGCACATAACAGAATGGAATGGAAGAGTAGTCGGTAAACCTCATGTGACATATATGTGACACTAACATAATGATGATGGTGTTATTCGACGATGATGATGATAATGTTGGTGATGATTTTTGTATGTCATATAATGATGGTGTTGTTTGTCGATGTTGATTATGTCGATGTTGATGATCATGATATTTGTCATATGATGATGTTGTTTGTCGATGATGATTATGTCGATGTTGATGATCATGATATTTGTCATATGATGATGTTTGTTGATGATGATGTTTGTCGAAGATGATTATGTCGATGTTGATGATCATGATATCTGTCCAATGATGATGATGTTCCTGATGATGTTGATGAAAATGTTGTTGATGATGATAAAGACAAAGGTAGTGGTGGTTGTGATGATGATGATGATGACGACGACTAAGATGATCATGATGATGATGATTGTAACAGTAATATACCTAGTATGTCACTATCACGGAAGGATACTTTACTATTATACAATTTCTTACAAGTTAAAAACATTATTTTAGGAGAAGTACAGAAATTGAAGGTATATATGTAAAATATCCGACGAAAGCAAACTCACTGAGATCAAGAACATAATAGGACCGGCTAAAACTGCATTTATGTTATGCAATGAATCTATGTCCCTGAATGTTAGAAAAGAATGCTCGCAAGTTTATATAGAGCTAGTTCTGTGAGTTCTGGACAATCAGTAACCAACTCAAACAATTTCTCCAGGTCTCAGAGATAGGTTTTACAGAAGACTCGTTAGAATTAACTGGACAGCCAGAAAGAGCAGCCCGATTGTTCTGACGGCTTGAAGACATCACAGGAATCAGAAAAACACTGTCATCAATTTGTGTTCGTGCTTTGAGAAGAGGAAAACTGAAACATGGTGTGACTACTGTAAAGACGTCTGGAAAAAGGGACAGAGGAAGACACGGCGAGAAGATTCTTGGCGGCCTTTTATCCTGGCACAGAGGGTGTCAGCACATGAACTGATAAATGCTGTTAAAGATCGCAGATTGTGGAGAAGAATTATCGCCCACCCCAGTCGGCAAGGCACTTGTTGATGACGATGGGGATAGCTAAACACATAGAATACTTGAACTTGATCATAAAAAACAAAAATTGCACGCTTCAACCTCTGTCAACTGATTAAACGCCCTGTTGTAACGAAGAGAGTTTTCTTTGCTGTCTAGTGTCTTGAAGTTTAAAAAATGAACAACGGACCAACATCAAGGCACACAGGTAGTAACCAAAAAGTGCTCCATTCTTCTTCTAACTCAAGTCTGAGTCAGAAGAAGTTTAGCACAGTGCACATGCTCTGTAGCACCGGCGAGGATCCTGAAATACTTTCGGGTAGATTTTTAACTCCAAATTTTGCCTGGGCAGCGCCCTTAGGTTACTTTTTCTATTTCAAACTGCCAAGGGATTTCTTTACATGCGCAACGATACACATGGGCGTCCGAACTCACTACCCAGAGACCAGGGAGAAATTTTAGAAGTTCAAGTCCGCGTGAAAAAAATCCAAGCCCTTCCCGGGAATTGAACCCGGAACCTCTAAAACTCGAGGCCGACACCATGCCTCGAGACCACGCGACCCCCTATCTGTCTTATATCTTCAGAACACATAGTCTAAGTGACTGCGTGTTATAACCCTTTCCTGCTATAGCCAGTACCTTCTTCATCGTCTTCTTCTTCTCTTCCACCTTGTACCACATCAAAGTGTCGAGGGCAGATGTAATATTCGTTACATCTCCTGATTTTGTACCTGATTTTGGTATAACCTAAACAAGCTGCTTAGGGTTTCACTATCTGCAGGGACCTGAAAAGACTCCATTTTAATTTTTACAAAAGCATTTTAATGCAATGTACATGTAATTTTCTTTTTATATATTGCAAACCGCCCGCCCTCCCCGCACCCGCCAGCCCCGCCCGCAGAAATTTCCCATTTTATAAACAATAAATTGTGTATATTATCTGAGGCAATAATATATATTCTAATTTGTTAGGATTCGCTGGTGGAATTTAAAGCGGTAGAGGCTTCCTGTCTTTAATTGGCTTACGGCCTTGTCGATTCTAAATCCGACCCTGGCTATAACTGTCATTTCTGCCTGTATTCACCATTTCTGAGGGGTAGGCGGGGAAGTCTTTGAGTCTGAGGATTTATGGCTAGTGCTGTCGCCACGGACTGTGCAGGTCAAGATTTAATTTTTGCCCCTGACAGAAAGAAAAAACACACCCAAATTTACAGAGGATGCGAACCCGGTTCTCCTACTTAAGAGTTCCTGCTTTCTAGCCGTTCGGCCTAACTGTAACTAGCCTTAAATAAATAGTTACCTGTAAAGAACCATGCCTATGACGAGACATGAGATGACCAGAGTTCCGGCCACCGTCACCAAGTACAGGGGGTAGTTCTGGGCGCATTGTCTGGTCAGAAGCTGCAGCGCGTCTTTGTATCCATCTCCAATATGTTTAATAGACGTGTCCAAATATCTACATTTGTAACCAGTAAAATTCTTGTCGAAAGCCGGAGAGTTTGTCATCCATTTCAGAAAGTCCTGATTGAAACAGTCGCATTGAATTGGACAGCCTGACATGTCCACTTGGATCTGACCAGGTCTGGCTGCCGCTAGCTGGTCTATGTGTGTGCGGACCAGTTCGGAGAGACAGGGCAGCTCCGTGTTGCTGAGATTAAGTAGTTTCAGCTTCGGTAGATGAGAAATGTCTGCTACAAAATCAGAGAAGAGATTGCCATTGAGTCTTAGATACTCCAGGTTCTCGATACCATAGAATAAATCTTTTGTTAGGACCTTCATTTGATTTAAAGACAGATCGAGATCTGTGAGGTTTGGCAGGCCAATGAAATTAAGCCCAATCGGATCTAAGGAAAAATCTATATAGTTTGACTGAAGGATAAGTGTCCTGAGGGAGGTCATGCTTGGATTTGGTGCCAAGAAGCATCCTAACAAACGAACTTTGGAGGTTCAGATAGCTTAGCTTTGGCAGACGTAAAAAGTCGTCCATCTTCACTATGGGAAGGTAGCTGCAACTGAGGTCCAGCTCTTCTACGCTGTTGTTCTCACTTAAAGAATTCATGTAATCGTAATTCATCTCTCTAATGCTCATCTCAACACGCTTTAATTTTACAGGAATTGTTACATTTTCTGATAAATGAATTCCGCTTTTCTTGTCCACTGCCTGCCTTTGGAATTGTAAACGATTCCGATTGATGAAAAAATGTCCTCGACTGATGTGTGGCACTCTTCATCGAAGTTATTTATAACTAGCGTGTCCAGAAGTCGGATGTCTGCTAGAGGTAGGGTCATCGGGTTCATGATTATGTCGTTGTTACTAACATCCACCTTCCGCAGATTCTCAGGTAGAGTCTTCATCACCTGCTCATCGACATAAACAATATTGTTTCCCCTGGCAAAAAGAGTGGTCAGTGTCTGTGGCAGATGTTGGATCATGTAAGTTTTCACAAAATTTATTGAATATTTATCCACAATGTTGTCCATTACCAAAGTTTGTAGGCTGGAATGTCGTAGTCCATACATTACACGGGGCAAGTGCTCCAAGCCGATGCTCGGGTTTCTGGAAATATCCAACGTTTGTAGCTTTGTAAAATGGGATAAAGAGTCATATTCAATTTCTGTACCGTTCAGGCAACAATCGCTGATGCTCAAATTTTTCAACTGGCCTAAATTTTCAAATGTTGCGTTTTTTATGCCGATAAAAGGACAGTGCTTGCCACAATACACTCTCAAAATTTGCAAAGAAGTCAAATTATTAAATCCCCGGTCGTAATACTGCTCTCCGAAGTAGTCGATGTGAAGTTCTTGCAAGTTGCTAAGACTGGAGAGCAGGGCACCAAGAAACGAAGAATTCTTGGTACACTTAAAATTGTTAACGTCCATTCGCAAATACTTCAGTGACCTCAGTGGCTTAAAAACACTTTGGGATAGTAATCCTTGACTGCCAATACTGTTTTGGCTCAAATCTAACCAGGTTAACCGATCGAGTCCAAGAAATGTCCCTTGCTGTAAAGAACTAATATAATTAATTGACACATCCAAGACTGTAAGGTCTCTGTAACGAGAAAATGTGTTGTTGTTAAGAGATTCCAAGTAGTTCCTGTCGAGCAAGAGTTTAGTTATACTGACTGGTAGATTTTGGGGTACTGAATTCAACAACCTGTTCGAACAATCACAGGCCAGGTTTTCACATCGGCAGTTCCATGATAGGTCATTGCTGGACCCACTGTATTTCTGGCTAATGGGAGAATATGGAAGCAAATGTGACTCATTACTGCTTGCCTTTGTTTGGTCCTTGTGTGCTTTGTGTTTACGTTTCCTCAGGTATAAAGGCGGTTCTGTTCGCAAGACACTTCTAACAGTCAAGTTCGAGATTTTTGTAGTTGTCCCGCCTTCAGCAGAAAACACAGAAGTAGTAAGAGCATTACTTGCTGCATTCAGCTTTTTCGGTAAATTAGCTTCTGGCATAACTGCATTTTTTCTTCCTATATATCTGTGTATATTTCCACGTGGTAATATAGTTTCCATTGCTCTCCTAGTTGTATCACCGGATATTGCTGTGTGGTTCGCCCCTGGCAACGAAAGCAGTACATTTTTAGTGATATTTTTTGGGGCTTGAACTTCTTCTTTGATGTTCTGAATCGTGATCACATCCCTGTGTAGACAACAGATGACCGGAAGAATGGACTGTAGCACATACAACGCCACAGGCATTGTGTCTGGCTTTGTTCAGTCTAGGGAATATAAGCACATTACGTTAGTGCGGTACTTCTAATTATTTATGTATGAAAACTAATTACTTTCTTGATAAATTCTGTCACTTGTTCTGCTTTATTGTCCCATCCACATATATTGATTGTCCCTACCCTGGTCTTAACCTTCTGCTGGACTCTATTTTCCCTATTTCTAAAACATCTACCTTTTTAATCTTGGGCATTTCTGTTTGAACCGCTGAATTCTCTGCCGACTTGCCGGGCCTGTCGCAAATCATCTTCAACAGAAAACCTACACTAAGCTAACACATTTAACCTACTCTCCAGGAATAAACATATATTTTTGTCACAATTTTCGGCAAACGTTGTTTATTACGCCGCCATCTTGGCCATGTCAATAAATTAAAATAAAAACCTAAATTAAAATTGTAAGAACAGAGATGAAATGCCTTGGAAGAGCTGCAGAAGTTTTAAGGAAAAACAGAATACGAAATCACGAAATCAGACTATTGCTATGCATAAATCTAGTCTTACGAGTCATCAAAGAACAACAAATGAAGTGGTTTGGACATCTAACAAGAATTCCTTTTTACTATCTGCCACAGCAAGCAACGCTAAAATGTTAAGATGGGTATAGAGCTAGTGAAAGACCTCGGTAAAGTTGGAGTGGTAGCATTAAAAACAGCCTTAAAGAAATGAACATCAGTCTTAATAGTGCTTTTGCCAGAGCTCATCAACGAATATTACATCTCCCCTTGACACTTCGATGTGGTGCAAGGTGGAAGAGAAGAAGAAGACGAAGGATAAATAAATGACTGTATTAAGTATGGATATTATACTAGTGGGGACATTCCCATGTGCGCCCTGTCACCTTCCTCAGCAACCAACAAAGAGTTTCTAAAAGTGCAAGTTGTAACCCAATTTAAAGTCCACCTGTTTTCCCGTCATCGTTAAATAAATACAGAACCTCTAGTAAGCCCTCGCATAATCAATCATTCGATGTATGGATAATATGTTTTCTTGCACTATTCGCCTAATTCCACAGACCCTTCACCACATTCGCTTTATCAAAAAGTAGCTTACCGTCTAGAGGATTGGCAGCAGTCAATATATCGGGCTTATCATCACCCGCACACCCAAATTGATAGGACAGAATATCCATGAAATACTTTTTAATGTGAGTCATATAAATAAATAAAACAACAGATAATAGCCTTTTTATATCTAGGAAAAAAAGGGATATGGACGTTAATGCAATGCTTCTAGTTATGGTCATGTTTTAGCAAATGAATTAAAATGAAAAATGTCCAATCAATCTAAGAAATAATCTACGCCGATATAATAAGATATATCAATCAATCAATTCTCATCTCACCCAGAGGCACATAAGGCAGAGACAAACTGTCGCCAATCAGTTCAATCCTGAGCCATACTATCTAACTCCAGTTTTGTCACGACCTGAATTCACGACCTTTCCATAGGCGAGCGTCTAACCGCTACACTGCGGTGGCTATATGTTTGTTTATATATATATATATATATATATATATATATATATATATATATATATATATATATATATATATATATATATAATCGTGCAGACAATGAGACACTGTGAATAATAAAGACCACTTCTGGATTTGAAAGAAAATAAGAATAATGCATGAAAGCCCTGCTAAATCACATTTACCGTTGGAAATAAACACAATTCAAAAATGTTACAAACCTGGAATCCTTGGTTCAGTAAACAGACATTCAAAGGAAACCAGTTAATTTAGCAAAACAGACGTCAAATACACACAGAGCCTATGTCACTACATCAGCAGCAACAAAAACCACCGCCTTATGCGTCTCTGGTTTGTAAATGGATCTTTACGCTTACTCTCAAGTAAAGTAAAGGACCCTTAGCCACGCCTTTAGGTCTCTGGGGCATATAGGTCTAGACCTGTATTTTATAGATCAATCGGTACTCGGTTGATGTGTCAATATCACGCAGACCGTCTTTACTTCCCAGGGCTACACCTGGTACCCATTTAAGGCAGGGTCGACCTAGGAGCACCTATTAAGTAGCACTGGAGAGGGGAAAAAAACATATGATTTGAAAAGGTGAAACTCCAGGCTGGGTCGAACTGGGAGCCAAGATCATGTTTGGAGAAAGAACGGTTCCTTTAGGACTCGAACCCACGACCTTCCTATCCGCAATCGAGTGGCTAGCCACTCAACCACGGCGAATTAATCTTGATAGTGATTAACGACGGTCGGCTGACAGAACGGATAAGAACACCGGGCTTCCATGTGGGAGACTGGGACTCGAATCCTGGGTTGGGAATTTTATTTTTCTGTCGCGGTCAAAAACAAAATCCTAAACTGCACAGTTCGTGGCGATAGCATTAGCCATGCGACCTTTAATTCTCAGGCTCAAGGAACCCAATGTCTACACCGCGGAAACGGCAATTACAGGCAGTACTAAAAGTTAGTTGCCTATCCTTTACAGGACGTTGCAGAACCAACCCCATCATTTTTGGCTGTTGTGGTTTTTCTAGGCAAGTTTACTTCCAGTAGTTTGTCATTGCTTTCTGGACGATCGGCTTTTCGATACTACTGTCGAAACCAACGTAAGGCGCAAGACCCGCAGCTAGGATGGAACTCGGCATTACGAAGCGCATTCGCAACGCCTAAGCCACGGACGCCGACATACAGGCAGTACAAAAGTTTTTAGCAGTAACTAGATAAACTAAATAGCCCAATTCGTGTTTCCTTACCTTACCAAAAATGTATATCATTGAACATTCCTGCTAAACTGTGTACACCAATACAACAGTACTTTTATGACTCGTCAGGTAGGTTGTCCTCCAACTATCACACAGGGCTGTGTCCTGTTTACAAAGTGCACTACCATTCAGTCATATGTCGCGATACACGTGTGACAAAAAAATAACTAGTTCACAGGCTTTTCTCGGGGAAGTCACAAAAGGGAGGCCATTGACAACCAGGATGTCAAGTCTAAAGCTTTAAAAGGCATTGAAAAAAACACACAGCTTAGGTCAGTATACATCAGAGACGCTGATACAAGGAAATTATTTAGGGTCACGGTGGATCCTTAGAGCAGCCACCCATCCCCTAACTTACTCTTCAATGTTGTAAGATGCTTAAGCATTGTTTAAGTGTGCAGTAATAGTTATTATTCTTATTATTATGTGCTCAGTAGCGAACAAATATATTTTTAATAGTATAAAATTTAATATTAATACTTAAAAAAAAAAAAAAAAACAGATTACATATACAGTGCTAGCTGGGGTCACGAAGTTTCCTTCTTTTGACTCTGTTCGCGAACCGACATATTCGTGACCCAAAACAAATGTTTTAATCGAAATCAATGCAAATCCATTTAATTCTTTCATCCGCACCAAAAACAATTAGGGAGTGGAGGGAGGAGGGGGGGGGGGGGGGGGGGTAGGCTGACTTTTTTAAAAATTGGTGACAAAACTATACAATATAAATTTACAGTATAAATGTTCCTTTGTATGAGATGGTTGCTGGCATAGGTAGATGGTAGAGGAGAAGGAAGGCTACCCCTTTAAAGGAGAGTCCCCAATATAATGTTTGTTTTAGTATCCAGAAACCATGAGTTGTTAACTCTTAGGTTCGGTATTATGGATATCGCAACCTTTCCGCCTTGATTCCATTGTAAATACCGTAAATCTGGGAGAAAATGTGGCTTTTCTGCCTACCCCCGGGGTTGAACCCGGACCACAAGGAGTTCGTCACCCGGTCTCCGCGCAATCCGGTTTAGCGAACAACGCTAGAGAGCCGGGCAGCCCAAATATAATAATGTCGGGCAACTAGAGCCAGCCGCCGTGGCAGATCTATCTATAGTTGCCCCGTGTCAGACAGTGCTGCACAGGCTATCAACCAGCTCGCGCCAAGTGGTCATATCCTTTCTTTTTAACTCATATCAAGTTCTCGCCATCCCGTTTTATCTCACTTTCCAATTCTCTTCTCTCCGTGTTTTGATTTGTCTTTATCCTTTGTCCTTCTGGTCCACAGTGGTGACGCGTGATCAATTCGCACGTGTACGCGTTAGCAGGCAGCGATTATCACATGGTATTTTCCTCCTCGTCGCCTTGCTGTTGAGAGTATACGTGCGCAGATAGCCTCGTTATACTCGTACTTGTAACTGACAGTTTCTGTGTGAGTGGCGAAAGCATGAAGCGAATTTTCTGTTTTTTTTTTTTTTTTGTTTTGACATATAAACCTAGTGATGCATTTGTAATAAATATGAAAACAGTAATTTAAAAAAAAAAAAAAGTAAAACAATGATTTTTTTTTTTTTTAAACGGAAAGTGAAAGTGTAAGTGACTCACACGTCTCGCCAATAGTGGATTCCAATGCAAGAAAAATGTAGCTGTTCTTATTTTGTCAATGTGTACCCTATGTGAGTCGTGGAATATCTTTCAGTCCTTAGGAGAAAAAGAATAGGGGCTTTTGGAGCTGAAATGCTATAGACAGTTTCTCAGAATATCTTGGACAAAGAAGAGGAGAAATATTGACATCTTAAAAAATCTGAAAATCAAGGAATATTGGCTAATAAACAGCATCCTTTCTCAGAAGCTGAACTATTTTGGTCATATCAAGCGCCACGATGGATTGGAAAACATTATAGCAGAAGGCATGGTGCCAGGAAGGAGGTGCAGGGGCCGACCGACACGAAGATGGGCACAGGATATCTGGTCTGGTAGTCTGGTAGTCTTA